ATAGATAGAAGCAGGGCTCGCTCTGTTTATACACTATATAAATCCATAGATAGATAGAAGCAGGGCTCGCTCTGTTTATACACTATATAAATCCATAGATAGATAGAAGCAGGGCTCGCTTTGTTTATACACTATATAAATCCATAGATAGATAGAAGCAGGGCTCGCTCTGTTTATACACTATATAAATCCATAGATAGATAGAAGCAGGGCTCGCTCTGTTTATACACTATATAAATCCATAGATAGATAGAAGTACGGCTCGCTCTGTTTATACACTATATAAATCCATAGACAGAAGCAGGACTCGCTCTATTTATACACTATATAAATCCATAGATAGATAGAAGCAGGACTCACTCTGTTTATACACTATATAAATCGATAGATAGATAGAAGCAGGGCTCGCTCTGTTTATACACTATATAAATCCATAGATAGATAGAAGCAGGGCTCGCTCTGTTTATACACTATATAAATCCATAGATAGATAGAAGTAGGGCTCGCTCTGTTTATACACTATATAAATCCATAGATAGATAGAAGCAGGGCTCGCTTTGTTTATACACTATATAAATCCATAGCTAGATAGAAGCAGGACTCGCTCTGTTTATACACTATATAAATCCATAGATAGATAGAAGCAGGGCTCGCTCTGTTTACACACTATATAAATCCATATATAGATAGAAGCAGGGCTCGCTCTGTTTATACACTATATAAATCCATAGATAGATAGAAGCAGGGCTCGCTCTGTTTATACACTATATAAACCCATAGATAGATAGAAGCAGGGCTCGCTCTGTTTATACACTATATAAATCCATAGATAGAAGCAGGGCTCGTTCTGTTTATACATTATATAAATCCATAGATAGATAGAAGCAGGGCTCGCTCTGTTTATACACTATATAAATCCATAGATAGAAGCAGGGCTTGCTCTGTTTATACACTATATAAATCCATAGATAGAAGCAGGGTTTGCTCTGTTTATACACTATATAAATCCATAGATAGATAGAAGCAGGGCTCGCCCTGTTTATACACTATATAAATCCATAGATAGATAGAAGCAGGGCTCGCTCTGTTTATACACTATATAAATCCATAGATAGATAGAAGCAGGGCTCGCTCTGTTTATACACTATATAAATCCATAGATAGATAGAAGTAGGGCTCGCTCTGTTTATACACTATATAAATCCATAGATAGATAGATAGAAGCAGGGCTCCCTCTGTTTATATACACTGTATAAATCCATAGATAGATGGTAAGGGCTCGCCTGTTTATACACTATATAAATCCATAGATAGATAGATGGTAGCAGGGCTCGCTCTGTTTATACACTGTATAAATCCATAGATAGATGGTAGCAGGGCTCGCTCTGTTTATACACTGTATAAATCCATAGATAGATGGTAGCAGGGCTCGCTCTGTTTATACACTATATAAATCCATAGATAGATAGATGGTAGCAGGGCTCGCTCTGTTTATACACTGTATAAATCCATAGATAGATGGTAGCAGGGCTCGCTCTGTTTATACACTGTATAAATCCATAGATAGATGGTAGCAGGGCTCGCTCTGTTTATACACTATATAAATCCATAGATAGATAGAAGCAGGGCTCGCTTCTGTTTATACACTGCTATATAAACTAGATAGATAGAAGCAGGGCTCGCTCTGTTTATACACTATATAAATCCATAGATAGATAGAAGCAGGGCTCGCTCTGTTTATACACTATATAAATCCATAGATAGATAGAAGCAGGGCTCGCCCTGTTTATACACTATATAAATCCATAGATAGATAGAAGCAGGGCTCGCTCTGTTTATACACTATATAAATCCATAGATAGATAGAAGCAGGGCTCGCTCTGTTTATACACTGTATAAATCCATAGATAGATGGTAGCAGGGCTCGCTGTGTAATTGTCCTATTGATGTCTGGCTGTTAGAGATGGGATTTTAGCAGGTGTAATTGTTTTTTATACTGTAGCATTGTGCTGTGCTGAGGGCTGGGGTGTAACCTCTCTTGCTATTCCCCCAGGGCAGTTATATGGTGATGTGCTATATTTCTACACGGAATATCGGGAAGGATTCAGTCATAGCGAGATGTGGCACCCGCTCTATTTCTGGTTTTATTTTGTGTTTATGAACGCCTTGTGGATTGTCATTCCCTCCGCACTGATTGTGGACTCCTGGATCAACTTGAGCCGAGCGCAGCATTCTGCAGATTCCTCCCGGCCCTCCAGCAAACAGAAAAGGAACTGATTCCAAATTGCGCTCCCAGGCAGACAGAGAGAGTACGGAATTTAATGAGCCATGTACCCACCAGTGTGCATTAGAAATCTCTGTATGTGTGAGGCCAGGGGCTCTGTATGTGTGAGGCCAGGGGCTCTGTATGTGTGAGGCCAGGGGCTCTGTATGTGTGAGGCCAGGGGCTCTGTATGTGTGAGGCCAGGAGCTCTGAGCTCTGTATGTGAGAGGTGGGGAGCTGTCAGGGTTATTTCTTTAAGTGAGAATTTTGGTAAATGCATAGTGAGTTTCCCATTTTAAGTCCCTACTTCATCTCCGTATAAACGTCTGTGTGCAGTGTGTCCTGTTAGTCCTCGGGTTAAATCCCCCTCTATTATTGACAGTAAGAATCAGTCACATGACGTGGACATTCTTCTAGGAAAGCACTGATTGTATGAGAAGCATTCGATTAGACCACTGTAGAGGAGACAATGCTTCCTACGTGACATCGTGGGAGCCAGCGACGAGCTTGTATTTGTGACGTATTACTGTTCCTTTAAGGCTGGATGCAGAGCTGGATTAACGAGTATTTACTTCATATTCTCACTTTCTGTGCATAGATATAATTTGTGTAATTACATACAATTAAACATGCTTTAGCCCTTGTATCTCTCCTGGGAGATTGTTTGAACTTTGTCACTTTTCTACAAATACAACATCCTTTATATTATGTACAGTGTACGTTATATGTTGGTGCTTTTAAAAATGACAATTACAATCTATAAAAATAAAAAAGTGTTTTTAACAGTTGTGTGAGGAATATGGAGTATTATTATACGCCCTGCGTTCAGGGAGGAATATGCAGTATTATTACACGCGCTGTGTTCAAGGAGGAATATGCAGTATTATTACACGCGCTGTGTTCAGGGAGGAATATGGAGTATTATTACACGCGCTGTGTTCAGGGAGGAATATGGAGTATTATTACACGCGCTGCGTTCAGGGAGGAATATGCAGTATTATTACACGCGCTGTGTTCAGGGAGGAATATGGAGTATTATTACACACGCTGCGTTCAGGGAGGAATATGGAGTATTATTACACGCGCTGCGTTCAGGGAGAAATATGGAGTATGATTACATGCGCTGCATTCAGGGAGGAATATGGAGTATTATTACACGCGCTGCGTTCAGGGAGGAATATGCAGTATTATTACACGCGCTGTGTTCAGGGAGGAATATGGAGTATTATTACACACGCTGCGTTCAGGGAGGAATATGGAGTATTATTACACATGTTGCGTTCAGGGAGGAATATGGAGTATTATTATACGCCCTGCGTTCAGGGAGAAATATGGAGTATGATTACATGCGCTGCATTCAGGGAGGAATATGGAGTATTATTACACGCGCTGCGTTCAGGGAGGAATATGGAGGAATATGGAGTATTATTACACGCGCTGTGTTCAGGGAGGAATATGCAGTATTATTACACGCGCTGTGTTCAGGGAGGAATATGGAGTATTATTACACGCGCTGCGTTCAGGGAGGAATATGCAGTATTATTACACATGTTGCGTTCAGGGAGGAATATGGAGTATTATTATACGCCCTGCGTTCAGGGAGGAATATGCAGTATTATTACATGCGCTGTGTTCAAGGAGGAATATGCAGTATTATTACACATGTTGCGTTCAGGGAGGAATATGGAGTATTATTATACGCCCTGCGTTCAGGGAGAAATATGGAGTATGATTACATGCGCTGCATTCAGGGAGGAATATGGAGTATTATTACACGCGCTGCGTTCAGGGAGGAATATGGAGTATTATTACACGCGCTGCGTTCAGGGAGGAATATGCAGTATTATTACACGCGCTGTGTTCAGGGAGGAATATGGAGTATTATTACACACGCTGCGTTCAGGGAGGAATATGGAGTATTATTACACATGTTGCGTTCAGGGAGGAATATGGAGTATTATTATACGCCCTGCGTTCAGGGAGAAATATGGAGTATGATTACATGCGCTGCATTCAGGGAGGAATATGGAGTATTATTACACGCGCTGCGTTCAGGGAGGAATATGCAGTATTATTACACGCGCTGTGTTCAGGGAGGAATATGGGGTATTATTACACGCGCTGCGTTCAGGGAGGAATATGGAGTATTATTACATGCGGCTGTGTTCAGGGAGGAATATGGAGTATTATTACACACGCTGCATTCAGGGAGGAATATGGAGTATTATTATATGTGGTGCGTTTCGTGGTGGACTCTGTGATTCTTTCTGAGTTCAACCCCTCTAGATATATGAAGCATAACTCTCTCTGGAGAGTCCGTAGAAGATTTATTTTGGGTTATTTACTAAAAGCCATATTTCAGCAAATTAACCGTGAATGGCAGAACTAGCCAAGCTAGTATATTTTCCAGTTGATTTTCCATGTCCTCAGATTGTTGTTTAGTGTAAAAGGCCCAGCGATACTTGCTGGCGGTGGCACATCATACGCAATAACCCTAATATACTTGCAGTGTTATAATAAAGTTTGTGAGTACAAAGTCATGCTGTGGTTTTCCAGAATTAAATATAATTGGGTATTCATCCAGTGTAAAGGCAGATAACATGGGGACTGATCACTGTGGCAGTTATGCAGGACCTGACTCTGCAATCCTGTGTGATGCGGACTTTGTCCATGCGTCTCTGTTTGGGAGTGTAATCTGATCAGACTGTGATAACAAGACCTTGAATCAGTCAGAATCCAGGTAATATGTGAAAAAAGGCACGTGCCGCCCAGGGCGCTATAACATGGAGTTGGACAGGACCCGGCTGGTGTTCCCACTTATTGTACAAGGCCAAGGCTGACTATTGTGATGTGCATTCAGCGGGTGGCCTGCTATCTCTCCTGGTTGGCTTAGCATCATGAGAGACATCATCCATAACATGGGAAGTCACATAGAAATCTACACCTGACATATGAGGAGCCTATCTCTTTCTCCACGCCCATTCCATGGTCTCTCTGTCCCACCACCGACAGGATCGAACATCCAAACCCAGAGGCAGTCACCCCTTGTACCTGAATTTTCATTTGTTTGAAATAATTTTTTTTAAAGGCTGAACTTGATGGACTTTAGTCTTTTTTCAACTTATTATGTTGTAAATGTTGCTTGGAGTCTCTCTGTAAAGCCGGCACAGAAGGTGGTCCAGTGAGCGAAATGTTCGGGTGAGCGGCACACAGCATAGCGCTCCATCTACTGCCACTCATTCCATGAGTGGATATCTTCATTATTCTCTGCCCTGTCTGACATGGAGATCTCAAACAACTTCCTGTCAGACTGGGTAGAGGATAAGGAAGATTCTCTAATGCGGCTACACTACAAAAGGGAGGGAAAGGGGGCAGAGACACACAGGGGCGAGAGACTTGGAGGGGATGACACACTTAGTGGGAGGTATTGTCAGGGCTGGGCCGTAGAGCTCCCACTCAGTGAACGGAAGAGACACACAAGAGTTTAAGAGTGACTTGGTAAGAGAGACACACACAGAGGATCCGGAGTTGGGGGGAGAAAGAGACACACAGAAGGGCCGCTGTCAGGGAGAAAGAGACACACAGAGGGACTGGAGTCAGGAAGAGAAGGGCCTCATCCTGCATGTGACTGTTTGAAACGTCCATTATGTAAATTCACGTGCAACGGTTTATACGCAGGTGGAGGTCAGACTAATTCTTTTATAACGCAAAAGTCACAGTAATTTTCATCTCCAAGAGTGTAATGTTGACACATGCCAGGACTGTGGACAATGGACGCAACATGGCTGTTCAATACTATGTATATAAATGGGACTTCTCTAGGTGTTTAACCCATAACATGATAACACACAGAAAGATGGTCACTGTGCTGATTACAAAATTCTAACACAATCTTCAAAGTTTGGGTCCATGACAAAAATAAATAAATCACAGCAATGGGTATATGGGGTATATGTACAAACAACCCTCACGCTTAGTGCTTATCTTAAAGATTTGAATGATACACGGTTTTCCCAGGGCATATTCCATAGTATATCCCCTTATAGAACAACCCAAGTATATAAAATGTGGGAGATACAGCTGTTAATTTACAAAAAAAAAAAAGACAATAAATGTATAATAGTATTCATTTGGAAGGTGATTACAGAACAATAAATGTATTTTTAACCGTTTTAAATACAAACAGTTGGTGTATAATTTTAACTACCAATTTTAGCAATCTGTGATATTTTTAAGTAGAGATTGTAGCCGTATTAGTTCAGTGATGTAGATGTAAAAAACAGATACAATTTGTATCTTGTAATACCTTTTTTATTGGACTAACAGAATTTTTTAATGGCAATCTTTCGTGAGAACCTCCTTTTCTTGAGACTTGAGAAAAGGAGGTTCTCCTGAAAGCTTGTCATTAAAAAATTCTGTTAGTCCAATAAAATAAAAAAAAGGTATTACAAGATACAAATTTTATCAAAGATGGTTCCATGAAAACACAAACTTACTTCAAATCAGTAGATGTCAATAACTATATCCATCTAGGAAGCTGTAATTTTTTGCTGTGATTGAGAAACGTGCCAAAGTCACAGTTACTTAGAGTGTTGGGAAACTGTTCAGACCTCGACACATCAAAAGTCAATATTTAGAAAAATGTTATGACCAAAACAGCAATCAAGTGAGACATATTCTATCAAAATGTTGGCCAATTTTAAGAAATGACCCTGCACTATATAACGTTCTTACAGATCAACCCCCCAAAAAAAGTCTAGTAAGGAATGATATCAAGAGGCCTGTACCTAATATCGTATTACATACGGATGGTTTTTGGGATGCAGACTTTGTCTAGCATGTTGAAGCACAAAGAGCAAGAAAAACACATCACAAGATTTGAAGATCAACAAAATAAAAATATTAAACATAAAACTAAATAATGATTACTTGTTTTTCATGGAATGTGTCATATCTTCTTACTTGCACATGTAAATTGTGTTATGTAGGGAGGACAAAATGTCCCTTACGAGTAAGGATTAACAAAAACATAAGAAATAGAAAAAATGGGGACGAAAAACAGGGTTTCAAATTATTTTAAATTGGTACATAATAGCAATCCACAAGAATTAAAATTCATTGCTATACAGAAAATTGCTGCTAATTGGAGGGTGGAAGATATAGTGAAAAAATTAGGAAAGTGTGAGATGAGATGGATCTCGTGGCGGACCGCCTGGTACCCCAACTGGGTACCTTCGCCAATCGCGCTTCCTAGTAGTCGTTGAGAACCATAAGCACTGCAGCTTGGCTGGGGTCTCACTGTCCCTTCCCACCCTGGACCAATATCTGGATCCAGCTCCCAATGGGAAGACCTCTCCTCCAAGAGAGTATCGCAGTGAAGCCAGTAAAAGAGCCAGTAAAGCTGTTCCCCCCCCCCCCCACGTGAGCTGAGGCTTAATGCTGGGAAATAATCTGGTTTATTAGAGGCCACACACGGCTTTTTATGCAAAAGCCCTTGCAAGGCGTTTCCTATACAAAATTACTGGGAAAACCCTCTCAAGATCCTCTGTGCCTGAGAGATAATTACCTGAGCAAACACTTATAATTTATCTCTCAGGGACAGAAAATATAACAAATTATAAAACACCCCAAAATACACGAAAACCCCCCAAAAGTCACATCCCCAGATAGCACCGATGTGGGTGATCAACATATCCAACAATCACCCAGATGGGTTCAGAGGTGTGGGTTTTCCATGGAAGTCCCGTTTTTGACCGACCACACATGTGGCTTAAGCCCAAAATAGTTCCATGAAATCCGTGCTAGCGGTTGGTCAACTTCGGTAACATAAAACCGAATAAAATACAGAACCTAATCCATAATTACAATGTGTAACTTGTTCACCTCATCCATGCAAACAAATCCACTGAACAGTGCCCTTCCAGGTTTTGTAGAAACGAACGCAGGTGATCCTGGAAGTCCAGCGGTGTTCAGAAGTTTCAGTATCCGATTTTAGTTCCATGACCTCAACGCCCAAACACCGCTGCCTGCGTTCGCGGAAACAATATGGCCACCACCTCGTGGTCGTTCATACAAACTGTGACCACCCAGACAAACAATTAGAACACTGAGGTGTTAATAGGGGTTAACAAGCTCCTGCGTGGTCTTTGGTTTGTGCGGTTGTTCAGTTCCCGAACGGCATAGGGGATGTACACGAACCAAGCCTTTTAAACTGTCTTTTACAGGTTTCTCTGCAGGGCCCATAGTCTGTGGGTGTCACGGCTTACCTTAGTGGGAGGCCGGTATGCAGAGATATGTGCACACCCTTGCAATTAAACACAGGCCAAGGTGGTCAGGTAAGAACTCACCTGGCCTGTGCAGATAAATGCTCCAAGTCACAGTATAGGTATGGACACGAGCAGGAGAATCGTTGTGGGTAAGCCAAAGTCAGAGGGTGCCAGAAGTCAGGATAAACGAGGGTAAGCCAAAGTCAGAGGGTGCCAGAAGTCAGGATAAACGAGGGTAAGCCAAAGTCAGAGGGTGCCAGAAGTCAGGATAAACAAGGGTAAGCCAAAGTCAGAGGGTGCCAGAATCAGGATAAACGAGGGTAAGCCAAAGTCAGAGGGTGCCAGAAGTCAGGATAAACGAGGGTAAGCCAAAGTCAGAGGGTGCCAGAAGTCAGGATAAACGAGGGTAAGCCAAAGTCAGAGGGTGCCAGAAGTCAAGATAAATGAGGGTAAGCCAAAGTCAGAGGGTGCCAGAAGTCAGGATACATGGTAATAAAGCCCAGGTCAGAGGGTGCCAGAAGTCAGGGTACATGGTAAGAAAGCCAAGGTCAGAGGGTGCCAGAAGTCAGGATAAACGAGGGTAAGCCAAAGTCAGAGGGTGCCAGAAGTCAGGATATACGAATAACAAGCCAAGGTCAGGAGCCAACTGGAACACAAACACCAATACAGGAACCAGAGTCAATGAACTGACACTGCCCTCAGGGAGAGGCAGTGTTTTATAACTGGCTGATTAGGCATACTATACAGGACCATGATTGACAGAAGCAGTCACAGGTAAGTCCAGACCCCAGTGCTGGAGACATGGCAGGGCTATGTTTCAGGGCAAACTAAGAACTTAAGTGGCTCAGAGGCAGAAACACAGACTGTGAACCATGAAGCACCCAGGTTCAAATCCTTTCTGAGGCCCTTCTGGGATGATTTTGTCTGGCAGTCTGGATGTGAGAACCGTGGGCAGGAGACTGACAAGCAGGCTCCTCTAGGAGCACGTGGCGAGG